AAAGATAGCCAGAAGAAGGAGGAAAATGCAGCAACATAACCTGAGAATTAGCAGCAACAACTGAAGAAAGAGAAAGAATGTCACACATCTGAGCAAATAATGCAGCAAAAGATGAAATTTTGTTTAGCTATTCCTCATCAGGAAGAGAAATACCAAAAGCAAAGACAGGAGATGATAACAATTAATCATGATTATCGAGAGATGAAACAGGCTCAGCCAAAGTAACAGAAGCAGGAGCTCAAGAATCTTATATCTGAGAAGAAGAAGGTACAACAGAACCAACCACCTGGTGCAGAATAGCAGATAACATCAGTAACTGTCAGACTGCCTCCAGTCACCACTGAAACAGTAGGAGACAACTCTTTGTAGTGGAGCATCAAGACCTAGGGATATGAGAATTCATTTTCAAAATGATCCACAAAATCATTTTTTTGTTGTTATAGTTGAATAAAGTTTTAGTTGAAAATATAAGTACATGAGTACAAAACAAGAAGAGTCAGACAACAAGGTTCAACTAAAGTTGAAGTAACAGATTCAATGCAAAAACTCTTGTAACTCTAAATACAAAGAAACAAATTCAAGACATTTAAAAACAAGAATGAGCCTTTTTTCCAATGCTGATGCTCATGAAGATTACTGTGCATGGATGATATATTGCCCTCCTATTGGTGGAGAGCTATAGTCTAATGATGTGTTAATACGTGTAGGAGTGGGAGTTGCTTGTGGTATGTTGAAAACTCCTCATGACAGTGGCACTAGGTAATAATTCTTTGTTGTGTAAAGAGGTGAGTTTACATGTTTCTGATACAAAATATAAATTTAGTCTAGTAAAATAACAGAGTAGTTTATATAATACCAAGCATAAAAACTAAAGTAGATTATACTATACCTAAAGATCTATGTTGCAAATTATATAACCATAGGTTTAAACAACTTTTGCAATTCTCTCTATTTCCTCCTCCTCTATAATAAATTTACTCATTTAAAACAGATGTACTCAAATTCTATACCATAGCACCAATGGACAAACCATAGTCTGTAATACAGTATTATCTAGTACTTGGCCTCCATGTTGCCCATACTGCAGCATGTATTGTCACATTTTCCTCAAAATCAATTTAATATGAGGATGAGGGTAGAAACAGTAACAATAAACTTCCTCTTACTATTAAAATGTTGATTTCAAATATTATTTCTACCAATGCATTTAGTTCAAATCCTCATATTTAACTGGGTGAGATATGAGAAGAAGTAAAGAGACACCTATTACTCCTGGAGAAAAAAGATGCAAGGCTAGCAGAAGAGAAAATGACAATTGAAAAAAATTAACAGTGTTGGTTTAACAGTTATTACTATCATTTCAGTGACTAGGCATTGCAAATTTATCTATTATAGGGCCCAGAACAATCATACAAGGTGCTCTAAAAACTAAATCTAAAGAAGAACATATAGCATTTATCAGCCAGGTATCTGCATCATAAAATAGTTCAATAGATCTAAACTGACTAACGTCATTAAAGAAAAATTCTAAGACAGAAGTAGATGTATGGGCCTGTATTTGTTCCAGGGAGGATAGTGTTCAGTATGGATGCCAGATCAGAATTGTACTACAAAAAACTGGTATAGAATGATAACTAATGAATTACAAAACCACCTAAAACTTGCAAAGAGAATGCTCAACACTGAGAAACCCAAACCAAAAGACTAAGCATCTAAGGCAGGGAAAGACTTTAAAGTACCAGTTAAAGAAAAAAAGTGACAAAGGAGATCAAGTACAATGTACACTTTCCTACGGGGCTACTGCAACCACAAACAGGAACTTGATGATTGAAAGTACCCATATATAAAATAAACAAATGAGGAGATACCAGTTATTCACCAACTTAAAAATACAACACTATGTTACTTTCAGATGTACAGAGCATAAATCTATTAAAAGGGGAAACATTGAAATAATGAATAGTGAAAAGATCACCTTAGAAGGTTATACGAGCCACAAACAATAACCAAAATTAAGATTTTCCTAAACTGAAAATGTATTTCCAATAATACTTACCCCAGCTCACACTTAGAGCTATTACTCAACTGCCAGGGTTTCTTCTTTTGCCCATCTAAGCATTGGTCTGATTTTTTCTCATTTGCTCCAGTCTTCTATACGCTCTATCCTCTATCCTGGTGGCGTATACAAGCACCTCATTCAGATAACATTATCACTTTTTCTAGACTGACTCAATCCCAGTCTCTAGCACCAGCTCTTTGTGAGGAGAAAGGGCAGGAGAGTGTCAGCAGAGGTAAGTATTATTGGAAATACATTTTCAATTTAGGAAAACATTAACTTCCAAAACATACTTTCCTCCTCTTCCACTTATAGCTAGAATCCCACATTGAATAGATGGAAAGGCCGGTGAGGGAATTATTCATACAGAAAGCATTTGCATAGCTCATGGGTGTGTCATTAGAAGATTGGCACTCTAATGAGGGAACTGCATCCAGAACAGGTATTCTCTTTGCCTGGAACTTAATTCCTGTATTGTGGGTGGGATTTTACCTGATTTATCATCACTGTAGGCCAGGCCCCAACCAGACAGCCAAGGTTCCATTACTCATGGTTGGAATTAAAGGGCCATGGTCTCTATATCCCATGTTGGTGGCTAAGGCAAATGGACTGCAAACTATATATATATTTATATACTTATGAGTGGATCCCAACCCTATAGCCATAGAGTGATGCATTCTGAGCCCCCAGAATCACGATGAGAAATTAAGCAACACTGAAGTGGACAAACCTGAAGAAGTCCAAAAGGCAACACCTCAGGCTTGGAATGGCAGGACCATGTATGCCTTACTCAACCTAAGGAAACAGATCTCATCCAGTCAGGAATCATGAACACTTATCCTCACTCCCCAACCATGTAGGCAAGGTAAATTCCTTTTGCCCCCAGAATTATGGGGAGGATGTAGAAAAACACCGCTCAACCAGGGACCCAGGATGGTACTACTCTGCACTTGGAATTATAGAGAGACAGTGGGCCTCTTCCATGAACAATGTATTGAATCAGTATTGATCAAAAAGAAGGGCCACACTCAATCCAACATACAATCCAGTAAAGGTGCCACAAATACACTTGTCTTAATACTTTATTTTGATTGAAATAAAGATTGTTTCACTGTGTTGTACATTGCATCTAGTCTTCTATTTTTCTTCAAACTCAGTAGAGTTCAGAAAATTCTAATTTTCTGCACTGAAAATCATTTTCTGGTAAGCCTCCTGTTATTCCATGGATCCTTCCCAGTTACTCAAAGAGAACTCAGTGAAACTGAGAATACCACAAGACTAAAGTAAAAAAAGAATCCATCAAAGTGTCAAGAATGAGTATATAGATAAGTCTGACTTTACGAATATCTAAAACAAATGTGACAATGCATGATGCAGTGCACATTAGCCACATGGAGGTGAAATACTGTGATTGATCTACATAATAAGTATTGTAATATGGGTTATGAGTGCAAATGCTCAGACACACGTAAACTCATAATAGTGGGTAATGAGCAGAGAGAGAATGGAAAAAAATCTAAACCTTTGTGTGCTCCATGCCAAGAGAAATAGCTATAATTGTAGATAATAGTATTGTCCTTGAAATTTATTTTGAATGTACATTATTTGAAAGTGTAGTTACTCAAAATGCCATTTATTACAAATAATACATTAGATTAAATTTCAATAGCTTTAATTTAAAATCAAATCCCTCAAAGCCTATTTTTTCTTTTTTCAGAATAACTTCCAAAGTTGAATGAACATTTAATTTGTTCATGAAATTATCACTTATAATTTCAAACTAATAAATTAGAATCTTAGATAGTTCTCAGTATATAAAAATAGCAAAAATATATGGACAAACAAATGTGCATACTAAGGATTAAAACTAAATAAACTCACTTCAACATCACGACTTTTAGCTATTTCTGTAAAGTTTTCTTGAGTTTCAAGTGTTTTCTCTTTCTTGTCATCTGTCATGCAAAAGACTCGAAGCTCTGCCTCCATAGTTTCATAACGCTTGGCAAACACCACAAATTTTACCATGAAGGGCACATAGATTACTTCTCTATACAGCTCAGTTGCATAATTTCCAACTTCATTAACATGTCTACAGTCCATCAACCAAAACCTATAATAAACAATCAATATGCATATTAGAGACTTCTGTAAAGGCCTAACACTCTCTATTGTGGAATGAAGTTTTGCCAATCAAGAGTCATCAGCAAAGCTTGGGGCAATGAACCAAACAATATATAGTTAGGCCTCTTGCAACAGTGATTTGTATATAACACTTATGAGGTTTTTTGAGTCCTTTTTAACTCACAGTATAGTAACCTAAATTAATTTAGGTGTGTGAAAATTATTATGGCATTGCACCTAATATATTATTTAATATTACAATGAGGATCAACTTTTTAATGATTATATTACTTATTTCTCTTCTTTTCACCAAAGGTAAAATTGAAAATATATTCTATGATGTAGAAGCCTAATGCATTCTTTAATTGGCCACATCCTCTCAAACACTCCATAAATATTACATACTCATCATAATTATAAGAGGCCTAATTGTATTTCTTTGGTTTGCCTGATAAGCCTTGAATAGGCAAAACTGCAATTCAGAGCAGGGAGTGCAGCATCTAATGTTGTACACTGCAAAACATATTGTCAACAGCAGTAATCAAATCCAGGGTTAAGTTGTATCAAAACTTCAAAAAAGTTTGTGGGAGGGACAACTACTCCCTCCCCCATAATACTACCTATGCACCAAAATATACTTTGTAACATATTCTTCAATAAGAAAAATTTGAAAATCGTATCTTTGTTGAGAATCATAAAATATTAGTTGTAGCATTATGTCTTCTTTTTTCATGTCAAAACAGATCATTCCACTCAATCCTTATGATATACTATTAATATGGTGAAATTGATCAAGAACAAAATTTCAAAGGTGAAAACGAACAAACTCCAATCTGTAGCTGTAAACATTTAGCTACACATACATTTCTGAAGCAACCTATATGTCTTGCTCTAAACAATTTTCTAAGGAACACCTCTCTAAACATAATTTTCATAGAATCAATATACATATGTACACCACTATTTTAATCTTCAAAAACAATGCAACTTGAATTTGTGCCTTGATAAAATTGTGCTCTGCTAATAAACTTCTAAAACAACTGACAATGGCATAAGATATACGTGATACTATGGAAAATATCATTTTCAGTTGTTTGCCATTTCAATCTTAGGCATGAATACATGTCACATAAATATCACAAAGCCCTAAAAGCAATTATGTTTTCAAATATCTAAAAAAAAAATACAATAGGAAAATTGCTAATGATATTTTAGAGAAACAAGTACACAAATAATTTACATATAAATCATAATGTAATTACCATAGCCCAAGTTTACCCACCCACATATAAATTCCAATGGTTGTAAGAAACTTAACAAAAATATACAAACATACCTTGCTGATACAGTGGTTGTAAATGAAACACAATCATTAACAAAAGTCAGAGGTGTTGATCCAGTCACATCCTCCCACTGAGCTTTGGTAAAACCTCCTTAAACACACAAAGCATTATTTGTTTATTAAAATATTTATTGAACATCTGTAAGTTGCTACACTGTGGCATCATTAAATTATAAAAACATTATTGCAGAAAGCATTTATTTCAGTTGCAAGCACACGTAAATCTAATTGTATGTATATAAAACAAAATAAACTAATAGAATCCAGTAAGGGCAGTGCATGTGATTTATTAGCTTGAATTACCAAAACAAAAAACTGACACAATAAACACACTCCAGGTGACCCCGAATTTTCATCTATACCAGATGTAATGAAGGAAACAAAAATCACTTGTTATGGTGTGCATGTCTTTTACAAGCTGACAAAGAATGATTACAATCATATTTGTTGTTAGACATTAGTATTAGACCTATTATATTTTTAATTAATACTAATGTCTTATGACAAGTATAACTGTTAAAGAATATTTTCTGTTACCGCAAATGATTATCTCAATTTTGTAAATAACCATCTTGTATAAACATGCACAGATATCACTAAGTAACTACATTTACCTATAACACATCACAGTAACAACTTTTGATTAAACCTTAAACTGTAAATCATTTTACAATCACTCGTATTACAGAGGAGATTACTGAACAGCTAAATAACACTTTTTAATGTATGTGATTTAATTTTCATATGAAAATACACCATGAGAAAATTAAAAATTGCTTCTATGAGAACCACTGTGAAATAAAACTCTGTTTAAATGGATCATATTTCATATGTACTTGATATGTTTGTAGTAATGTAATACATCACCCTCAGCAGGCAATATAACCATGGTTGAAGTATCATCACATATGTATGGCTGTATCTTAATGTTGACTATAGGAATTTATTGTAATAGCTTTCCTATGCATCTATCTCATTCAGATGTTTAAAGTTTGAAGATAGAAAGGGCACTGATATAATAATTATTATTGGTTAATACACTTAATATGGTTCTCACATATTTTAAAGTTAAATACATGGTCAATAAGTGTGAGGAGGCATAAAAAATTACTGTTTAACTAAAAGACATACATACTTTAAGCTAGGAGTTTTCATGATTTTTTGAAATAAGAAGTGTATTAGTTAATGGTTTTTGTAATTAGTTGCTAATCAGATAACTAATTAACCAGATTCTTCATACTAATTATTTGAAAGTTAACATTTTAAATGTTAGTTTTAATATACATAACATACAGTTTATGTAATTTTCATAAGTAGGTTTTATCTGATGAAAATAAAATTATTTCAAAGTATTTTTAAACATATTTTGGAAGTTAAACATTAAGCTATTACAGAGCTATAAGTTTTCAATGCTCTTGTCTGTTCTTTTCCATGTATATATCATAGATCAAACTTGGAATTTCACATGTGCATAATACATGATTTTGATGTATAGCTTCTTATTAGAAAGTTGTTCTGTCAGTAGGCTGTAGATGAAAGGCTGATGCTATTGAATGATGTGGAGTCAAAACACTAGATTGGTTAGGTTCTGCTTCTTAGCTTCATTGGTTGGAAAAAATGTTAAAGCAAACAGTGCCAAAATATGCTTTTTCTTATTTAAATACTTTGAATCTAGCATTTTATAAGAGCAGCTTAGCTTTCAACAAGCTGAAATCCATATATATCTAGGTTTAAGGGATGATCTCATATGATGAGTTAACACTAAGGCTTATTCTGATTTGTATACAAAGTGTTGAGTATGTCATATTAAAATGATTTTGAATAGGCAAATCAACACATCACATGATAACCATAGCCAATATACAGTTTAGGGTAAACAGAATGAATCATAACTGCATCTTTAAATTGCTTAGCATTTTATAAGTAGCAGGATGCCACACAAAAATAGATCACTTTTGTGAAGAATATGTTAACAGTCTTTTCTGATCAAAGATAATCATACCATCAGATCATGAAGTAGAATTTCAAGACAGGGATATCCCTTGTACATAAAGGCATTGGAAAATAAAGGAATACAGATCAACTTGGGGCACCAGGACCATCCAGAAAGGGACCTGCAATAAGCTATAACTCAACCAGGGTAAACAAAACATGGCATCTTGTAACAAGTGAGAATCCATGAACACAAAAGCAATAGTAAAAGTTATTTACATGCTCTAAGCAACATAAAAGCAAGAAGGATCTCCATGCAAAAAAGTGACACAACCATTTCACACCTGAAGCAGCTAGAGAATGAAATGGGTACTCATATTATTCTATATGAAAACATACTGGTTAAGTGACCAAATGCAGCACTTCTGGATTTCTGTGCAATAAGATTGTTGAATCAGGCTCTGAGAAACCATTTCTCTCATACACTAAATGGCTTATGGAAAGCATGCAGGGGAGGAGATGTGCACTTTGAACAGAGCCTTTTGCAATGGAAACTATGCTGTAGGGGTATTATTAAAATGAACAGCTGTCAGATAGAACACAACTGGATTTGTGCAACATGAGCTGTGACTGTGGAGTGAGGCTTTAAAATTGTTTTAATATAACATACTCAAATCTGTATATGTATTAGTGTTAAGTTATTTAGCTTTATCTATAAACCAAGAAAGGCAGATAAGGTTAGACTTCAAACTCTTAAAGATAAAAACTGATTGCTAGGAGTCTGCTCTTAAAGAAGTTATTAGACCTTGTTCTAGAACAAGTGCTTGATGACTGCAGCATTGTAAATACAAAATGATTGTGTAAAAAAGACTTTGAAATTGATTTTTAATTTCTTCTTGATTATCACACACTTAACAGACTTTGATAAACACTTCTGAATGGACTTAAAATTATAAGACAAATAAAAATAAATAAAGTTATCTTCAACTAAAATGATTACCAGTTCCATACAAAATACAACTCATTGGAGACTGGCTTTATCTTGCTATGTAAATAAAGTTTGTTTTACAAGTAAAGTTTCATTGTCAGTCATTGGGTACCTGAACCTGTGTTAGCCAACTCTACAATTCATCAGGAATAATAATAAAGTTATAATTTTCCTATACTGAAAATGTATTTCTGATAGGTACTTACCTCTTCTCACAGATATAGTGATTCTCGTTCAGTGTTGCCCTCTATATGCAAACATTTTTTCACATGCCACAGGCCTTGAGCTCCCACATACCCCATGATCAATGCAGTTCAACTGCATCTCACATGTAAATCATCATGCGACAACCCTCCACCAATAGGAGTGCAACACCTGCTCCTGATGCATGTGACTCCCTCTATTCAATTTGACTGAACTATCACTTCAAGTTTTGGCAGAAAATGGAAGCACCAGTTTTCAGTGGGGAGGAAGGGTGGGAAGTGTGACCTATTGGAAATACATTTTCAGTGTAGGAAAATTATAACTTCCGATACAGTGCATTAAATCTTCTCACATATATAGCTAGAAGCTCACATTGAATAGATAGAAGACAGTGTGAAGGAAAAAAAGAAGCATCCTTTGAAAGCATCTAAAGAACACCCAAAAAGGGGAGGTCCTCACAGTAGAGGATCATACATGAGAGACCACACCACTTCTGTACCAGGTATACTCTATGCCCAGAGTGGAAAGAGGTGTTACAAACATGGATAGAAAATGGGAGGAGCACATCCAAAAGGGAGAGAACAATGGTTGAATAGGGATCCAAACCACCAGATATTGTAATTTCAATCCCTTTGATGACAGTAATGTAGGTGAGAGTAAAAAGGATGTGCCTTAAGGTGTTGAGTGGCTAGGATGCAACAGACTGTACATGGCAAGTCAAATGCATCCAAAAACCAGCCAATAGGAACTAAAATCCATATAGGGGTAGGATGAGGATCATACCATAGGTAAGTCAACAAAACAAGTTCATACATCCTCACTTCAAGTTCAGCACACTGGAGGGAGATATCATATCCACCAATCTGTGAACAGGGCACATGATAGAAAAGTGATAAAATGTTTTACCGATTTGGGAACCCAACATCCAGATGATCGGAATAATAAAGATGCTCCTGTATTGTGAAATATCCCACTCAAAACCAATCACACAGGAACCACCCCCTGTGCAGTAACATCCTTGATATATACAATCTTCTTTGCAAGATGAAAAACTATAGTAACCTGCATGTTCATTCACCAAGAATCACAACATGGTAGTAGGGAACATGAATCCAATAGAGTGAGGGAACAAAGACACCTGTAATACATGTGTGTGGACTTATGTTGATTGGCCCAGCTATGAATCCAAAACTCAGCCACTGGGAACCAACATCCATGTGGGGGTAGGATGAGGGATCCAATCAAAGAGGTAAACTACAGTTTTGATGACTCACTCCAAAGCTACAACTTCCTCTCAGAAAAACCCATTCAGAGATGAAGCATCAGATTGGAGGACATCTTGTCATCTACACCAGCAAAACACCACCACCACCCTACTCTCAACTGAGTGGATTCAATATTATTTTCATCATATATATTGATCACATTCAGGAGGATGCTTCCATGGTCCAACATATTAGTGGCTTGGAACTGAAAATTGGTAAGGACTCCCATACTGTACTGGAAGGAAAAGGGTGGATAAACCATAGTGGAGAGCACACAGGAATGTCAACACCAGAGACAGTGCAACAGGTAACCATGAAAACCCTTTTTGAAAAGCAGATCACTCTGGATATATTCAATCTAAAAAATGGCAGGGAAGGGAACTATCCCCTTCTGCTTTATCCATGAAGTCCATGGGTTAGTACAGTCCAGAATGGACATATTAATGAAGCAAATGTATCATGAGAAAAAAACCTATGAGCGATCTTGTGGAACACCCCATCTCAACAATGTGTGTTTAGTGGCCATGGAAATTATAATTGTTAAGTGATCATGGTCTTACAGTGTAGATTTGATTAGTTTATGTATACCTTGACAGTCACCACTCACCACAGAGTGAGATCTTTAAAGAAGAAAAAGGACATGCCCCTTAAAAATAAGAGGTATATATACAAAAAGATAACTTACCCAGCCACAGTCTCACTGAAGTCTGAAGAATGGCAACAGGTGGAAGACAATAATACAACGAGGAAAAAAACAGCTATCTGCATGGCTTCCTTCCATGGTGCCCATTCCCAACTATCCTCTGTTTATGAACCTTCTTCTTCCACTATTACCAATTGGCTTTGGCTTTTAATTTGATTGGCTTATTTTTCCTTGTCTCCTTCTTCCCATAATTTGTTCCAGGTGTCTTTTGACAAGATCAGGCACCTTACCTTTTCCCTGGCATCTCATCTCTGTCAACAATTTGAGGAAATTATTCAATCAGTTATGTTGGACCACTTCTGATACATTTATCTCTCACTATCTGCATTGAACAATATAACAAGGAAGAGCACTTACAGGACATAGTAGTATATCTGGATCACACTGGGAATATAAGTGGGAAATAGAAGGAAGGGAAATTGGCAAGAAGGAAGAATTACCCTCACGAGCTACTGAAGTTTTAGGAAAGAAAGATCAATCCCAATATGATGATTGATACAGGGCATGTAACATTTCAATGGCAACTAAATCCAACCACCAATGTCCATAGGCCAAGAGGAGAAGGAGGTAAATGAAAAATTGAACACAAGGACAGAGGTTCACACGGAAGTAAAGTAAGACAGTGAAGAACCACATTGACATCCCAATCCAGAAGAACCATGTACTGAGGAGGTGGGAGAGGTAAAAACTTTTAAGTACCTAGAAAAATGTGGGATAAGGCAGCCCAATAACCCATGATCGTGGAGACAGAAGTTCTCTGATCAAACAGCCAAATGAAGAAATACATAAGAAAAAGAACAGTGGGTTGAGCAAGTGAAGACCAATGGTAGAAAACATTCCACTTATGTTAATAAACATCCATAGAAGAATGGTGTATGAAATGTGCTAAAAATGAAGTGACTCACTGTGGCAATCTGGATCTCCTCACCAAGGACCAGTTAAAAAACAGACAAGAAGACAGGGGGTAAGAAGGGCTGGATGAAATGCTGGTGACTGAGGCTGACATAGAAGGGATGGAGAAAGAAGAAGGGGTAATGGTGGAGCAGATTGGAGCTGGAGCAGCTGCAGAAACTAGTAAGGAGAAATCAGAAGGACTTGACAAGGAGTGGTGTGGATGATGGAAATCAGCCTAGGAAAGAGATGAATGGGAGGATACACATAAAGGTATTTGTTGGTCCAATCCTGTTGGAACGCATCGGCAATCAGTGCAAGTGGATGAGGAACGGAAGACCAAATCAGCACATGTTGAATGATACAGGGTATGTGAAATGTCAATGGAAAATAAATCCAACCAAATTGGATCATACCATCTTCTAGCACACTTACACTTGTAAGTGTGCTGGTAGATGGTACTACCTCCAATGTGGTAACTTGGAGTTTGGAATTCACCATTAAAGATGAATGACCAAATGCAACAGTGTTAGAATTAATAGATGTAAAACTAGAAAAAAAAGTAAGTTATCCATATGTCCAAGAATGTTTGAAAAATGAGAATAACAATTCCACTTCGGAATAAATTGCAAAACAGGTTAATCAATGTTGAAAAAAAAAATTCAAAAAATTCATTAAGTTTAAAGAAAAACACAATTGAAAAGCACAGTGAGAAAAGGCTTGACATAAGCACTGCCAGATGAGAAGTTCAGTAAAATCGAATAGAGCGAGTCACATGCATTAGGAGAGTGTGTCATACTCCTATTGATGGAGAGTTGACACATGATGCAGTTGAATCATGTTGATTGTGGGGTGGAGCTCAAGGCTTGTGGCATGCAAAAACATGTTTGCACTCATGGGCAGCACTGAGCGAGAATAGCTATATCTGTGAGTGGAGGTAGTGTACTGTATTGGAATCACTAATGTACACTGTTTAATTAACACTTAAGTTTCAGTAGGCTATAGTTAAGTTATATCTCAGAATTAATATTCTATATACAAAAACACTTAAAACTAAATTTTGTTTAATAATACTTGCATATGTTATACGAAACATATATACAGTGTTTAACATCAGCTATGAGAAAACCATATCACAAGAATCACTATTATTAAGGTAGTGCATAATTTTCAAAAATTTTATAATGAGACTATGTGTTTTCTCTATGTTATGGCCTAATTGGCGATACACATATAAAGTTTAAATCATGTATGTTCTCACATGTGCATTTATGGACTTCATTATGTACATTACAGCATACATTTATCATACAAATTTTCCTTTATGAGTACAGCTGTAATGCTGTTACTTGCAATTTCAAAATATTAAAATCACCAGAAAATGATAATTATACAACTGTTTGATTTAATATCATTATATTTATAATAGAAAAACAAACATACTCTGAGTATATAAGTTGTATACTGCACATGACTTAAAACAAAAATGTATTATTATTCCTGATAACATAAGTACACGTGTTCTTGGATCCTGGTTCTGTGGCTGTTAATTTTGTGATTGAAAATAAACAATATTTAATGCATACACTGTATTTATGAAAATTATATATCATATACTCCTCAAACAAAAACGTTCTTATTTTTATAATCTTTTCTCCAGTTACAATAACTATTGTACAATCAACATCTTAAGTGTACCTTACTTAAAATAACACTGGACACTTATTTACATTTGTATCACTCACATCAAAAATGCCCTGTTCTGTCAAGTAGAAACAATATTAAATGAGTCTTTTAAAGTATGAATATCTTGTAACAGATCTTGAAAAACATGAGCACATTTCATCAATATAAAGCTAAGTAAAACACAATTTGGAAATGAAGGCTGTGAATGTGTAATATGTTATACCTAAATCAAATGTATACTCATACATAGATGATAGCCAATTATGGACTTTTTCAATCGACCAACTCCACCGGTCTTGTTCGGTCCACATGTTCAGGTCACCTAAAAAATGAGAAACCCATTCCTACTGGCCACAAAAGATGAAGAAACTAAACTACAAGTGTCTTTTCACCAATTTTTAATTTATTTAATAATTTCAAATTAAAACAATTGACAATTAAATAAGGTATAAACCTGTCAATTTTACAGAAAAAATAATTATATCTTAACCTTAAACACAGGTAACAAAAGAAATTATCTGGGTTAAATTTGATTACTAAGATGTCAAGAACATCTATAAATATCAAATCATCTACATAACTCTAACCAGACTTTGTCATTTAGATCTAAACTTACTTTTCCTTATTAAAACTCATTTTAACATCTTTGTAAGTTAATAATCATATATTTGTACCTACAAGTTAGTTTTATAACTGTTCTTATGGAAAATGTTACACTGTACTATATATTGTCAATTTTACTATTCCTGCAATATCTCCAATAACAACCTCCTGACAAACCTGGTTTTGATGATAAAAATATACTTGTAAAGTACTGGAAACATTTAAATTTTCATGCATGAACTTGTACTGGCAGTTTATGAGAATTTTGTTCTTAATTATTCATTGGTTCCATGTGTATTTTTCATTCCTTTTGGAAGTCATTATTATTATTCTGTAAAGTGAAATTTTATAATTAAAAATGTTATTATATAATAAATACAATATCTTATACACTTATCAACATTTTAATAGATAATACATAACTAAGTATCTGTTATGCTATCAATTAAGCAGTTATCAATTTTAATACTTTCAATTAAAGCTAGAGGTAAAGTTATTCTTAATGCTTTGGCTTTAGAGTTGTTTAAAGTGTAATATGTTAAATACACATGCCTATAAAAAAAAACAATCTTTTAATTGTAGAAATATGAAATAGGTATAAAAATAATTTCTAATTGTTAAAGTACAATTGTAAACTCTACATTACTTAAGCATTGCATGTTAATTATATATTTATTTCAGATAATGTGATTCTCATTTCTCTTTAACATATATTGATAATTAAAACTACTAGTGGGTATAAGATTTTACAAGAATAGGTGAAATGGTTTACAATAAAATTTCATATACAGTAAGAACACTGAAAAAGTTAAGAAAAATACCTTAAAAACTAAACAAACATGCTTGAATTAAGTTTAAGTAATAAATCAAGAAACTTTATGTAGGTGAAACTTGCAGCTTTTATTCACAGCTGCAGTGTTATATGATACTGACCTTAAAAACCAAACTAGCATTTAACATTTAATAAAGACAAGTACTGGAATATATGTTTTTATTTGTAATGAAATTCTCCACCTTTTATAGTTATTTACAATAATATATTAGAAGTCTATGCATATACTATCTGTCATACAGTGCATAAGATGTAAAAGTATTAAATATTATTTTAAAAAAGCTTGTTTTTTGTTAAGCACATGGCTACACAATGAGCTATTCATGCTGTGCCCATCACAGGTATTGATATCCAATTTGTAGTGTTATAAGCCTTCAGACTTATTTCTGAGCCACTGTAAGGCTTATTTTAAAAGAGAGCTTTTATTTTAATAAACAATAATAATTACACTATTTTACACAAAATCTTTCTTTGTTGTCGTTTTTGGTTTTATTGATGAATTTTTGCATACAAGAGTCATATATACATGTGAACACAGCACAAAAGCAGGCTGCAAGCACAGGGTACAGGTAAACAATATGATTTTAAACATGCATATACAGAAAGAAATAAAATTTCAAACTTTATTCAATCACACAAAATATTTATAAAATAAAGTTTACATAAATTACAAAAGTTGATAAGCAAACAAACAGTACAAATGCATTTTCTTGAAAAAAATCAATGGATAACTTAAATGGAACACATACATGTAAATGCTTCAAAAGAACAGATTATGAATAAATTTTCAGCCAATAAATGCATTTGAATACCATACCTATCAAATATTACACATTGGCCATAGTGACTATGGTTATTAAATTAGTTTAGAAAGCCTAAAACCAGATACTGATTGCTACAGATTCAATGTCATGCCTGAGTTTTGGTTTGTTTTTGTTTCTTTTGAGAAATAAAGTATCACCATATTGTTATCATAATTTGCAATCCTTTTCAGTTTCTTATAGTGATACACCACAACTTCCTTCTTCCAAAATAGTAACTTCCTGAATAAGGGCAAAAATCGCACAATCCTATGGGTAATTTAAGAAAATTATGGGTTTTCATGATAATAGCTATAAGTAGCCACCCAAATGGATTAACAAGTATGGAATACATCAGCATAACACATTTTCCATGGCAAACATCAAGGCATGAGTTAGCAGCAACTCTAACACTGAATAATCTTATTTATAGAAATAAATATCCCTTATTGGTTGATGGAATTTTAAAATTATGTATAATACCTGTACACCCAAGGATGAGAATTGAAATTGGGGAAGAAAAAGGGAGATTAAGACTACAATGAAACTTAATAACAATTCTGGTTAATCAAACTGAAACTTAGTCAAACAAATGATAAAGAAACTGATTAAGTTGAGTTTTTGTATGTTTTAATTTATATTATTTCATGTAATACTTTGTTTATATTAGTTTATTTATTTCTTTACATGCAAAGCTACTTGAGGTCTATCTGCCATTCCTAATTTGAAGTGAAAGACTAGGGGGAAGACAGTTAGTGAACACCACTCACTGTCAACTCTCAGGCTACTCTTTACCATTGAATAGTGGGATTGACCATAACATGATAATGCCTCACTGGTTGAAAGAGTGAGCATGTTTGATGCTTGTTTTCGATTTTGCAGCCTTCAGATTGTATGTTTCTTGAACACCATGCTATGCTGAGCCACTTTGTTTATATATGTAAGTTTAGGAGTTACTTTTCTTTTCTTACTTTACACTATTTCATACAATGCTTTCTTTATGCATGTAAGTTCAAAAGTTACTTACTTTACATCATAGCAATGAAAATTGTTGACAGCAAAACTTGGTATATTAGAGGTAAATATTAACATGAAATGAAGTAGTTAAAAAATTTTGTTGAGGTGTTTCCTTTACTTTTGGCCACATTTTTGTTGCAACTTAAAGAATATGCTTTGCTTAGATACTTACTAAACTAGGTAACTGTAAAGAGAAGCATACTATGTAAAACAGACAGTGGTCTTTTCTACTTATATCTCGAGGATACAAACTCCCATATTTTGTCATGTCTTATATCTTGACAAAAATGGCATTATTATTTCATGTATATAATGCTATGTTTTTTCAGTCTCAGAGAAGTCCTCTAGTGGATATCAGACTTTTGCTGATGTTGTGAAGGTTTATGACTTCTTTCTTGCTGTGGCCAAAGATTCAAAAAGGTCACTTGCTGGAATCTAGTTCATCCAGAATGGTCAATCAGGTTCTACCCTTAAAGATTATCCTCAGTGTACAGGAGACAAATATGACTAAGGATCATTGTGGTAGCACGTGCTGGTAAATCTTAGATTAAATGGTGCTGTTTCTATAGGATCTTAACTTTCTGGCTCCGGCCAATGCCATTAAATAGCAGCTGACACTACAGGCATAAACTAGCAAAGCTGGTGATCCATGGAATAGTTCTCAGCCTCTCCATCATGGAAGGGGGTATATTGCCAAGGTGCCCATGGTTACCCAGAAGCCTGGGATCACACACAGTTCATGGACAAACTACCTATGGTAGCTCACCATTCCTCCACCCAAGGGCAGAAACCTGAGGCTCATCCAGAAGTAGAGTTCCCTGAACATGCTCATTTCATCACACTCCCAATGTTTAGGATGCTTCAGCCTGGGTTGGTCAAGAGTCCATGGGTTAAAGGTTTATACTGAAATCATAGGTAGAAGTGATAAGAGCTAAACAGATTACAAACCTGATGGTTAAGAGTGTGGAGAGAGAGGATCTGGACTCAGGAACATATGGTGCAATATTTGACCAAGATGGGATTGTCCAGCCCTTTATTCCATCAAGAAGATGCTGCTACTCTGGTTATGGGAAAATAATGGAACCCAAGTCAGATTTGACCATCAACTTGAGAGAGTGCAGCAGACAGCTCATGCAAAAAAGGTTTGGTGATCAGCCCAGATCTCTCTGGGCTGGGTGGCACTTGTATGTGCCCATAAAGGTACAGAGGCAAGAGACAGAAGTTGCCAGTACACTAGTTAATGTTGTTATGTATCAGGCACTCTGAATGAAATTGCCATTCTGGCCAGTTAACACTGACTTCATTCTGGCAAATGGTAATAGACTAGATATGACTGAAAAGGCATGTTTCTAACTATGTCCAGGTAAATTTGATGACGAGGAACACACTTTGAGACTAATAATGCTTGGAGAAGGTTTGAATGGGTAATGAAGAAAAATTTTAATATAAGTTTAATATAACAGCAAATGTACAACATTTCAACAAGGTTTTGTCATCATCAGGTACGTTGTACATTTGCTGATATGTTAAACTTATATTAAAGTTTTTCTTCTTTACCCATTCTAGCCGTCTCCAAGCATTATATGTCCAGGTAAAATCAGTCATAGAAAAATGATGGTCATCTCCTACCCTGGATGTGAAATTGGTATCCTAGGGATGGACATAATGCAGAAATTATTGGTGAATTTTGTCAGTACAACAGGTGAACTGCATTTCCATGGGAAAGTCATTTAATGTTGGCTAGACCAAGCCCAAGAACAGTGAACTCAAAGCATGCATGTTGCAGAGGAGCTCGCAGTACCTCTTTATATACAAGTGGTGTTTAATTGTTTACTATAGATGAAATCTAATGTAATAGTGTTACATAATGCAGTGATAGAGCCCATGGATGAAATTGACTGTTTCCTGTCCCAAAAATTGGCAGGATTAGCTCAAACAGTGATCTCTCTAAGGAGGGATGAAGTCCCAGTGTTTTGCTGCAATTATGGGCAGTTGGCTATTCAGCTTCGTGCTGGAAAGGTCATTTGTGTGGTAGGTGAAGTGAAAGTAACCAATACTAGTGGTATCACT